TGTCCAGTAAAATAGGGTCTCCGGATCTCTACACTCATCATACGAAACACAGCAGTATTAAGCTGCTATTTTACGCTGGTATTCTGTTAGAGAATAAATCTTCTCCAACCAATTCGTGCTACAACCATAATATAGCTGCAGCATAGCTCTACCACGTATATAATTTATTTATTTATTTCATTAAAAGTTCATCGTCAAAAAATATCCATTAAATAAATTATAACCTGGCTCCATTTTAAAGTATAGCAACTGAACTATTTTATTCATGTCATGTGAATAATTTGTACTTATGATTAAACGGATCAGTAAGGTGAAGAAGTGAGAACCAATGGGATATTCTAGAGCGACAACCTTGTACCAGTGAGCGAAGTGTATGGCAGCCTCCAACTACATAGAATGACGATCGTGTGTAGGAAGTAGATGAATACATGAGATATTCTACCATACAAGTATTTAAAATATTGCATATTACATCATTTCATTACAGTGTATAAAAGTTCACTGTTGAACATCCTCCTCCGTAGATTGGCTCATAGTTTGCCACAGTTGTCACGCTGTGCAGACGGGCTGGCAACCGCAGTTATGTATAATTTTAAGTTGTTGTCAGAAATATGTTGAATACAGATTACGTTTATCTACCCATAAATAGGAGTATGTACAGCATAGGAATCGAATAATATATTATATATCCATCAAAAATTATAAACTGTAAACAGCACAGGTACGTTCATAGAGAATTTCAAGTGAATGACAGATCGGTAACCCGTTCCCCGGCCGACCCCACCTCGTAAAGCCTGCACTCTGTAGTACATAGCGGAGGCTGGCATCTCTTCCCGCTCAAAAAACCTAAATATATACGGCGAGGTGTAAAAAAAACACGCGACGGGAGCGAACCTAAGTACATAATTAATATGTACGCGCAGGCAGCCCTTTAAATCTCCGTTAATCAAGGCTTAGACAATGCGCCGCCATCTTGTCGGTCCCGCCCGGTGCTTTTCACCCCCCCCCCTCTCACTCCCTCCCATGCGCTTCGTGCCCCCACCGCGCAGGCTTAAAGGAAAACCTTAGGCTCTATTCACATTTGCGTTTCGACCGTGAGTGCGGATGCATAGATTTAATTAAATTTGTTTTTACATTCTTTTTAGGGGTATAACAAGTTTGGATATGGTAGCATTGTTTTAGAAGTTTAGGTTTTTATTAAAAAATGTATAAGACGTTAGATACCGTACCATTACAGCCTATTAAAGTCCACTGCTGAACGTAGGCCTCCCCCATAGATTGCCTCTTAGGGGGGATATTTGCCATAGTTGCCACGTTTAGCAAGCGGATTAGCAACATCAATTTTTTTAATTGAAGTCGTTATTAGAAATACGCTGCTGACCATCTCCTGATTTTGTCCCCTTTGTCGCCTCTTTGACACCCACGGGATGATGTGGGCTAGTGGATATTTAAAGACTTATTATACATATTATACAGATTTAAAGGTTGTTTTTTATACAAGTAAGTGTGGCAAACGAGCGCATAGTCCACCCGATGATAAGTGGATACTATGGACCATTCTCATCCACATCTATCATTTATTATTGCTGTGTTTTATATGGTGAGTGTAGAAAACCGGACGAGGTATTTAATGGAAATGATGCATTTTACAACGCATCAGCATTTTGAAACTTAATCGAGAATGTATGTAGATATCTATGGCCCACAGTATGGCCACTAACAATCGGATGGTCTATGTACTCGTTTGTTACCCTTAATCTAAAAAAATATTGCAGATGCGTTGTCTCCTCTCAGGACTAAAATTGTATCGGTAAAAGAGGTCCCCAGTGCTTTTCACTGACCATACGTGACCATACGTGAATATAGCAGAAAAATGCGTTATTTCACGTTGCTATTCTGTGCGGGAGTTTCCCCGGTCGAAACGGTATATATAATATATTTGGAGCGTGTGTAGATGATGTGTGAATTAGCAAACACAAATGTCAATAACTACACTGCAGATCAATCAGGCAGTGATAGAATCGTAGACGTTTACAGACGGGGCCGTATTAATAATAAAAGAAACAATATAGAATTCGGGAAAAGAGTAAAACTCTAGTGGAAGGAAAAAGTGTGCCTAGCGGTCAGATGGTCGAGATGCGTCTGGATTCTCCCGAAATTTTAAATGACCTCCAGACTCCCGACAAAACTCCAAGTTCAGTCTTATTACTAAATCAGCTTTTATTAAATCAAAGGCAGCTGTGATGTAAAGACAAGTTGTTTGTCTGGAGATTTTAAGTAAAGTTAAGTTACAGCCTCCTATATACATCCCACTGCTGGGCACAAGCCTTCCCTCATTTCTGAGAGGGTTTTAGGGCAAGGAAGTGTCCGCCGCGCTGCCCCAATTCGTGTTGGCGAACTTCACATATCTTCGAAATATTTTTTTTCTCTTATTCTTCAGACATGTAAGTTTCCTCACCATATTTTCCTTCACCGCCGAGCACGTGGTAAATCAGCACTTAAAATTGCAATTAACAATTTCATTGGTGCCGGCGGGGATCGAACCTTCTTTTACAGTAACCATCTGAGCTACCACGGCTTAAACTTGAAGTAAATTGTTTGAATTTTAAATCTTTTCTGAATACCACTAAAGTATCCAAATTATTGGACTCAGTACAGTCATATACATGTGGCAACCTAAAAACTTAGTGTAAATTAGTTATGTGTCAACAATGTTAAGTATCTTTGAAGCCTAATATTTAAAAAAAAATATTTTACATTTTTATTTTTAATATTTATTTCTACCGACAACAACAACCTTGAGAAAACACAAATCCTTAACTATCGGAGAGGCACCCGGTCCATCGCTGGACTGTGTGTGGAATGATAATGAAATTAACAGTGAAAAAATTAATTTTATCAATTTTAATTGCTTGTACTAGGCCGTGAAGAAAATTCGTGATAAAAGACTTCATGAGGAAAGCTGTATATCTTAGGAGTCAAAAAACTATTCGAGGACATGCGAAGTTCGACAAAACACACTGGAGTATTGCGACGGACGTAATTTCACTTAATTTCTTATAATAATTGCACGGAATCATACAATTATGATAGTAAAACAATTTATTTCATTGTGCCAGCCGATCGAGTACAGAGAGAATTTCGTTTCCATACGGATAAGGAATCCACACAACGCAGTCGACAATTTCACAATAAGCCTTACTAGTTAAGGTACGTTTTACAATTTTTTTTAATTTCTCTTGTTTAAAATTTAAACGAAAATTCAAACAACACACGTTGATTACGAGCAGCGATGATACTAGTGATAATACTAGATCATAGATATGAAGTTAATTGCATTGTCATCGGCTGTAAAAACGCCTGCAAAATTTTAGATTATTGGACGTCTAGAAGTGCGCGAAAATAGAATTATGATATTCCATTACATTGGGTCGTGCAAAAAAACCAGAAGAGTTCCCGCCAACAAAATAATGACGTAACAATGTTATTAAAAATTCATGATTGTAATTTTTAATATGAATACTTTACAAACATATATTTAAATTAGTTAGTTCCCCCCATCTCCTAAATACTACTTACTTTGAACACTACACAAGTTCACCTGCCAAACCCCATTCATCCATACACATCGATACACACAAGTCAAGGTATTATAATATAAAATTATCTTATTTTATCCTGGTGATCCTAATCAGGATACTGGGATAAAGTTATTAAACTATTGTATGTTTATTGGTCCTTGATACTGGTGCAAATGTTCAAGTGAAGCGCCGCCAATTGCAAGTTGGTGAAAATTAAATTAAAAGATTCCTTGCATAGACAGATAAAAATAGATACACGCGAAGCTGACATAAGCGTGTTAAAAAGAATTAATAGAATCGGTTGAAAGTTTACGAAGATATTTCGTAACATGCATACAAAATACTCCTTTTTGGAAGTCGGCTAAAGCAGTAGAAAAATGGTAAAACGAAAGACAATAAAAAAACATTACGAATTAAAGTACTTTTTTCAATAAAAAAAATCATGTGGGAACTACATGCAAACTGAAACAATATAACAAACGACATAAAAGTGGCGTCGCCGAGGCGGGAACAAAACACTCGCTTACATCTGAAACAAAATAGTTCTCATAAGCTGTCGAGAATTCTTCATGCAAACCGTTTCTAGTAGACCCGTTATGCACACGGGATATAGTCGCTTATCCTTTGTTCTGTGTGTATGTTTAACTGTGTTGACTCTCGCCGTGAAAAATGAGCATTTCTGTTGTTGAGATTAAAAATTATATGTGGCTTTTGTTCCGCGAGAGTGGGAGAGTTGAGAGCTTAAAGCTTGTTTCTAGATGCTACATAGGTAATACTGTCATAGATTAATGACTCATTCTATAGTTTCTGCAGCTTAAAATAATGCATTTGTGACACTATTTGACGTGATAAATTTAAATGTTAATGACGGAATTATTATTGTAGTGTACATTCTGATTCTGCGTCACTCTTTTTGAATGTTGGTACATAGGTATATAGTATCCGTACGTACTTATAATGTGAACTGTGTAGTGGTCTAAGAATATCAATTTGGACTATATGCCCAAGTTGATATTCTTACACCACTACACTGGGCGTATTGGCCCTAAAAACCACTGGCGACAGTAAGTTCCATAATGTGAACGTCGTCGATGGTACCCGAGGGAGGGCATGCGATGATAGTGATAGTGACGTTCAAAAATAGTAGGGATAACAAAATTCATCTGATCTTTATACTCAATATAGTTTTGTATAAAGTATATAAAAATAAGCAATCTATCCACCACGATTCAAACAAAAAAACTGCTAATTTAATAAACATGCTAGTTTTAACAGCCAGAGTCGACCAATGATTTTGTTCAAGCGCCGGCTAATTACTGCAACTCAGCGCATATTATGTTTGCAAGCGTACACTGTCAGTCGGTAATAATGGTGGTGAGACTCACCGTCTCTTGGTGGCGGGCGGGCGGGGGGTCGCCGCTACGGGTGCCCAGCTTCCCTCATCGCGCTCGACTCTTGAACAAAATCATCACGTCAGACACATCTCGAGCGCACTGGTCGATGTCCCGCGGTGTATTCGCACGGTTACAAGCGACCAGGTTTATATGGGATCGAATTTTAACAAAACTATTACTTCACTCGTTATTTGTTGTATGTATGTCGGTATTCTATGTACCTAAGTACTTTTTATTTATGGTTCAACATAGTGGATATATTACATTTGTTTTGACATGCATTTTTTAATGAAATTGCGAAGTGTTTAATGCATAGAGTTACGAAAATAATTATTTTTTCTTTTTACTTTGGTTTGGTTGTGGAAATAAAAGGCTTATTAATGATAATTAATTTAATTTGTGAAACAAAGCAGAATTAGAAGAATAGAATGTGATTCTGGACTAAATTTTTAATACAAACGATTAAACTAAATATTAATTTATTGTCTACCTAGCTCCGAAATTTGTAATGCCTGCAAAAGGCTGCTTAGGTGTAAGTACCTACTGCTATTATAACCCAATGTTTGTGCATTTGGTATGCAAATAAATGTTTTAGTCTTGAATAATAAACTATTAGAGGCTTCTTCTCAATTACTTCAATAACAAATACAGAATAATATATGTTCGAGATTGTAAAGTCTGTCAATTCACAGACTCTTCCTTAGATCATAATCCTTTTCAGATATGTGAGGAGCAAAAGATCTTAAGTTTCAATACTTAAATCACAAGCTTGTAGTATTCACTTGATGAAGATACGGAGGATGAGAATACGTTTACATTAAGCCAATATAACCAAAAGGAGAGCCATAAACGAAAGTTCAAACTTACCCTTTTTAGGCATTTACAATAAAAATATAAATGTAATTCAGTAATAAGTAGTAATTCAGACATAAAAGCGTACATTTATTAAAAAGTTCATTGTAAAGCTTCTTTTAAAGGAAAATAACGTATTAGAACTTGTAACAAGATAAAAATTTGAGTAATTCATGTAACCAAGAATGCCGTGGTAGCTCAGATGGTTAGCGCTCGCTGTAAATTTCACGGTATGCGAACAAAGCGAGTTCAATCCTCGCTGGCATCAAGGAAATTGATAATTACAGTTTTAAGTGCTCATTTACCATGTGCTCGATGGTGAAGGAAAATATCGTGAGGAAACTTGCATGTTTGAGAAATAAAAAAAAAATCGAAGACATGCGAAGTTCGACAACACGCATTGGGACAGCGCTGCGGACACTTTCTTGCCTCTTCTGAGAGGGTTTTAGGTTTTTGGCCTGTGCCCAGTGGAGTTCTCATTTTAAATATATATTTATAACAATAAAAGCTTCCCACAGTATAATGTATTGGCTGACTATAGGTATGTTTAATGTCTTGACGACCAGTTGCGGATATATTTCTTTTAAAAACTTCACCGCTCCTGGAACTACTGGTCCGAACCGATAGTCTCTACATCAAATGGCACAAATGTTAAGTCATTTCTCAGATGTGCGCCATTTACTATGTTCTGCTGACTTAGATTCCGCCCCGTATACAAACGAAATTTAATTTAAATTATGCAGTATTAGTGCTGGCATAATTTAGTGATTTTTCGCCTAATTTCTATATCAAGAAACGTTTCGTCTTCCATAACGATTCGTTTTCTTGCATGCCTGGTGAATGTAAAAATATTACTAACTATTATTATTTTATCAGCTTAGGATGACTTAAAATGAATAAACTTTATACGATTGATAAATAGTTAAAGACATATTTACGGCAAAACGACTCGTAAGAAGTATTTTTTAATATAGACACCCAGCATTAGCGGTCGTTCAGTGATCGGACGGCAGCTTAGAGTAATTACATACATACGTATGCATAGAGAGAACCTACAATTCTACATAAATTGAGTCAATATACTTGTCTCGCTTTTTCTAATTTAATTTTCAAATAAGACAAAAATAGACCAATCCATTGAAAGAAAAGTGAAAAAGTGTAATTCTTTCGAGGAAATAGGAGTGTCAAGTGGTTATTTTTGGTATTTTTATACTCTGTCAAATATGAGAGTAAGTAAATCGTATCTTCTGATTTACTAGAAAAGTGACATCCCTATCATAGTAGCGTTATCACAGAATAAATAATAGCACTACGTAGTATTATATGTGATTTCCTTCGCAATGTTAGCAACAATCGACAACGTCGACTCGACTCGAATCGACTCGTTTTTATTTAGTTATTAACTTTGCTACTTTAATATATGTCTAAAAATATAAAGAGAATATTACTTGACTTGTTATTATTCAAACGATCAAGTAAATTATTTTCTAAATCAAGCGGTGATGAATATTTTATAACATAATAAATATTCGTTTCGCAAACTTTAAAAACTAAATGTTAGGGAGGTATGAATACTAAATCTTGACAGATACGGTACATAAGCGAGTTGGATCCCCGATCAGTCCCAGCTTCGCACGACTGTTTTCCAGATTTCGACACCAGCGTCACTTACCTGGTCCGATTGTGTGAGTATATATAAAAATCGGTCCAGTCGTTCTCGAGTGACGATCTTTCGTATATGCAACAATTGATTTTTATTCGTATAGATTTACCATTTGCTTAGCGGAAATCCATCGACTATATTCAACAAAGCTTTATCGGCTTTGATGAAAATATTTTGAAATCATGAAGTTAAGGAAGGATCTTGATAATGCCGTGTAGCGGCGGCGTAAAAGAATTCACTATATTCTACCAAATAATAGATCATTACTTAGAGGCTTGTAAGACCCCATACTATTCCGTATGAAACACGAGATACGTAACAGTATACGTTCTGATAACAACTCAAAATAATGAAAAATTACCGTTGCCAAACCAGTTGCTCCGAGAGGAAGCAATGGCAAATACTTCCCATACTTCAGCAGTGGATTTTTGATAGGCTGTAATTAATGAGTGAATGATGAATGATTGCGGTGTTGTGTCCTAAGCACACTGTCACTCACTACACGGCACGCAGCACGCCAGTCTGCGCTTGTTTCTTACACCTCTCAAAGGCTTTTGATCTTGTGTCCAACGACTTACTGTGGGATAAACTGGAGAAGATCCAACTACCTTTGGAAATATTTTCAAGTATAGGTACGGGAACCAGGTCAATAATGTAAGATGGGAAGGCGCCCTATTTAGATCATACGTTTTGGAGTGCGGGGTGAGACAGGGGGATTTGAGTTCGCCCACGCTCTTCAACGTGTATGTGAATGAGCTGATAGGTAAACTCAACAGCATTAGAGTCGGCGGTCACATAGACGATGTCTGCGTCAACAATATCAGTTACGCAGATGATATGGTGTTGTTGAGTGCATCTATATGCGGCCTACGAAGACTGGTGAAGATTTGTGAAGCTTACGCCTTCACACATGGTTTGACATATAATGTAAAAAAGAGCCATGTCATGGTCTTTGATACCGGGAGTAAGCGACATGACATAGTACCATCTATTTCAATTAATGGTAATATGTTACAAAGAGCTTTTAGGTATAAATATCTTGGCCATATTCTGACTCATCGTTAGAGGGATGACGATGACATTGAGAGGGAACGGAGGGCGTTGTCAGTAAGAGCGAACATGATAGCTCGCAGGTTTGCATGCTGTTCAAGGGAAGTTAAAATAGCCCTATTTAGAGCTTACTGTACGTAATTTTACACATGCAGCTTGTGGGCTAGATATATAATCAAAAGGCTTACAACGCCGTCCGAGTACAATACAACAACGCATTTAGGGTGCTGCTGGGACTGCCTCGCTTCTGTAGTGCATCAGGGATGTTCGCGGAAGCGCGAGTGGACTGCTTATATGCGACTATGCGCAAGAGGTGCGCTTCTCTGGTGCGCAGGGTGCGGGGGAGCAACAATAGTATCCTGAAAGTGATTGCTAGCTGACTGGACTGCCTATACATATGCCATTGTAGTGCCATATCGGTTTTTTTGTACTTCGTAAATAATATTATGCCTACTAACATAGTTATAAGTTTAGTTATAAGTAATACTAAAAAAATATGAGCCCTGGTTGCTTAAATAAATAAATGAAATTCTTAAAAAATTCTTATAATATCTTGAGGGAGTAGAGAGGAAAACCGGTAAAACGTTCACATTGTTTGTTGTGATCTAGCGACAAAAGATTAGGCATAACGTGATCATGCAGCTGTTATTGTACTATCGCAGCAGTGCCCCCTGTGTGCGTTCCGTGAAGCAAATCCAGTGTCGATTAAACAAACAGTTATTATTCTCCGTAAAATGCATAATAAGTCTAAGGATAATTTGGTGGAAATATACCGGTTGAATTTAAACAGATTTCTGATTGACCTATTCAAGATATATTGTAAATTATATTACGATAGTACGAAATTCCGTATTATTTGACTATATTTTTATTGTAAGATGTCAGATGAAGCTGCTATAAACTTTCATTGATATAAATATGTATTATGAATCGGATTAGTAAAAAGTCTTTAATTTTACTGTTATAGACTAAGAAAATTTATCGGCAACGTTATTTGTTTCACTACTCGACATATAAATAGAGGTGTCTATGGAATAGAAAAACCTTTTAAAAGAAAGAAGGTGAGAATAATATAGCTATCTTACTGTTTATCATATTTATAAAGAGTTCAGCTATAAGAATTTTGTTCTATTTTTAGGATTTTCTGTATGCTGGTAATAATTACTCTGAGAACAGACATTTTTTATATTAAATAATTTTGTCAAAAGGGTGACACTTAAACACAGTGTAGCATCACATCTATCAACTATTAAGCATATTAAAGTGGCATGATGTAAAATTTAAAACGATATTAGAACAGCTTGCAAAAATTCTGTTACTAATCGGTAGTAGATACCAGGAGAACATAATGTTATGGATGATAATATTTTCGGCCGCGTATTAATGTGTACAAAATAAATTCTGTATATTAGTTGTAGGATCGGCACTTTATTTTTTTTAAATCTTATAAACCAGTACCTGCCTGCTGTACCAATTCGTTCATTCCAGTATACCAAAGTTCACTGCTGAACATAGAGCTATTGCATTTTGAAATCAGTCAACTGATGATTAAATTAAAAGGCAACTCACCGAGTAACCAGGGCGCGACAGAATCGTTCTCCTTGGCGCTCTTGAGAATCGTCTCGGGGAGCGGTAGTGAGTGGCGCACCATGGCACCGTATAGGCCATACTCCGCCATGATGGTGGACCGGCCCCAGCACTTCTCCGTCTTGCGCCACTTCGCGCGTCGGTTCTGGAACCACACCTGCCGAAAAACCAATACAATTATTATGGTTATTGAGGGAGATATTTAAAATAGTTCGAAGAACTAAAAATCGATGGGGATGTTGCCCAAGAACATCACGACTAGAGGAATTATAGATGCGTTGGCGGCCTTTAAGAAAGGGCTCTTTTCTTTAAAGTCTCAATGCATTTTTTATAGAATAAGGGTGACAAACGAGCACACAGTCCACCTGATGATAAGTGGATGCTGTGGCCCATAGATTTCTAAATTTATTCTCGATTAAGAATCAAAACGGAGATGCGTTGTCAGCCTTGAGGACTAAGATGGTATGCCTCGATTCCAGTAAAAAGCGTCTTCAGATTTCTACACTTACCATACGAAACACATCAGTATTAAGCTGCTATTTTACGCTGGTATTCGGCGAGAGCGTGGTCCTTTCCTGGTTGAGCCAACCCATTCGTGCTACTACCATAATATAGCAGCATGGCTCTACCACGTATTGACATATGACGAAATTCATAAATGACGTTTGAGCCATAATTGACTCGGGTCGCTATGGACAAAGTCTAATGGAAACAACAGAGGCTTATACCAAAGGGCACACAGAATTGAGAGACATTTTTTAATCTCTTGATAAGAATAATAATGATAACTTAAATATTATTAAAAACTCACTCGTCTACAAGTTTTAGTTTGTTTGATATCATTAAATGCATATCAATCAGTAATACGTTCTATCAATTTCGTAAGCCTATTTATGTTTTTTTTAAAGAATATTAACAATGCTATAAACATTACTTATATTCCCCTTAATCACTCGTGGTAAGCTTAAATTGCTTGTGTTACGAGTGGTTCACGCCAGTAGTCGGATGGCGGATTCGAACCCATGACCTTTTCGAGTTCGCGGTCCGCGCCCTGCCATTAGGCTATTGTCGCTATGTTTCGTTATTAACTTGTAAAATATACCAGACCAAACTAAAATATATTTTTTTAACTGAAAAAGGTATAACATTCAACCTAATCCTAACGATAGAGGAGCGAGCGAGCGAGCGACTGGCCAGTGTCGGTGGCGAGCGAGCGGAGGCACTCGACTCCGCGGTAACTAAGCACGGAAACAAACCAATTAGCGCGGACAAAACGCAACTAAATTACATTTTCAAATTCGGCTCGGGAGTTGTACCTACTGAGTGTAGGGTTGTCACATAGTGCATATTATTTTGAAAAACTTTTCATCGGAAAGATTTCAATAGGCGACTTGAATTGTGGTAGGATTCCTTTTTGTCCAGGAGTCAACCTGGATAGGTTACGTCTTACATATTACTGCCGCCAAATAGCAGAAACATCGCTGTGTTTAGGTCTAAAGTGAAGATAGCCAGTACAATTACAGGCTGAGGCATTCCATCGTAGTCCTCTGAGGTGACGCACCTGTACTCTTCTTTGTATCAAGTTATCAGGTGAACTGTGAGTTTGGTTTTAACTTCAGTTTTAAAACAAAGGCTGATACTGTATATGACGGTTACTGATCTTCCTTCACAAACGAGGCAGGTGGATAGGCAATCAAAATTCCAGATTTCTCGGATGTTTAACGTTGCTACCTATCTATCGCAAGTAAAACCCGTTACCTATACAATACGAGATGCTTTCGGTTTTTCCTACAGTCGCCTCTTACAACTACAAGACGTGGAAATGAAAGTTATTACGGTAGGTATGTAAAAAACAGACAAGTGTAACCGATTAACTAACTAGCTCTGCACTTGGCTCAGTGTTCATCACCGAAAAAGATACTGGCAATCGACTAATGGTCCATCCATTTGCAATTTACGAGATGGGGTTTTACTTATTATTTTGCGTGGAAGTAAATGTTATATTTAAAAAATGAGAAAGTGATCTAGGTGAGAAGGTAAATCATTAATAAAATCAGGAAATACTTTTGCGGAAGATATATTATAATTTGTAATATAATAATATAATTTATATTACAATCTCAAAAAAAAAGAAATAAGATTTTACATAACTTGTGTACCTCATATTGTGTAACAATTACGGCAATGGCAAAGGTTTTAAGTTTTAAAAGAATATTTCCTGATTTCGTAAGTTTTGTCTCGAAGTAAATATTGGACAAAGATACGATTTCTTCGTGTGGTACAGCCCTAGCGGCGTCGCTCGCCGCCCGTCTCTGCGAAACAGTTAATTTCTAATTAAATTTGTTAATTAAACTCGATCCGCGCGCTCTCGCAAATTAATACCCCGCGCGTATTATATTCCAGCTCCGACACAACGTACCTACGTGTTTTCTATGTCTATCCCTCTCTGTGCGCTTTACATAATGTTTGCGGTCAGATATTTATTTAAAACGACTAGCTTCGGCTTGAAAGACTTAAGTTTTTGTTTCAATATTTTTTTTAAAAACCTATAAGTGGAGAAATATATTTGTTGTCGGTAAATTTATTTTAATCAGCCGTTCAATGGATCATCATCCCATTAGGATGGACGGGCTCTGACGTGTAATCGCCGAGATCTCGGAGGTGGATAGTGCGAGTCCGCTCTCGGATTATTGTCTCACAACTTTACTTGCGGAGTAGTCGCCCGGAGGACATCCTTCCATCTTGTCAGGATCACAGCCAGTGGTAGTTCCGCATCGCATATTTTTTATTACTATTTTATTGCTATTAATACACTAAAAGTTAGTTACGGGACACTGTTTAATTAAATAATAAACAAATGTTAAAATAAATGTTAAATAAAATAGTATAATCAATTAATGTATAAAATTATGTAAATATTATATAGCATATTTGTGCTTATGAGCCGTGGTAGCTCAGATGGTTAGCGCTCGCTGTAAATTTCACAGTACGCGAACAAACCGGGTTCGATTCCCGCCGGACCAATGAAATTGTTAATTGCAATTTTAAGTGCTGATTTACCACGTACTCGGCGGTGAAGGAAAACGTCGTGAGGAAAGCTGCATGTCTGAGAAATAAGAAAAAAATATTCGAAGCCATGTGAAGTTCGCCAACACTCATTGGGGCAGCGCGGCGGACACTTCCTTGCCCTAAACCCTCTCAGAAATGAAGGGAGGCCTGTGCCCAGCAGGGGACGTATATAGGCTATAACTATATTTGTGCTAATTAATATATATGTGCGATATAAAAATAGTACCTTTAAATAAGAATTAAAAGGCGACTTTAGAGAACAAAAATAACTTCACATTCTGAAGTCGGTGCTAGTTTATTAGAAGAAGTGAGGCGCCGACTTCAGAATTTACAATTATTAAAGTAGTCGTAGTAGTTTTAGTTGTTTTTACTCAATAATGTACTCTTAAATAAAAGTTTTTTTAAGTTCTCTTCTTCCTTTTTAGTAGTGTAAAGTAGGTATATCACAATTTCAATGAAATCTTATTTAGTTACATTAATAACTTCAGAAATATTCCAGAAATATTTAATTACAAAAAAACATCAAAATTGGTTTACGTTTGACGATGATATAGCGTAACATACATCACGTCTAATTGTTAACCTCTTTTCTCTTGAAGTTCACCTGATGCTAAGTGGCTCCTGCAGCCCTTGGGCCCCACAACAACTTCAAACAAAGAACGTTGCAGATGCGTTGTCACCTCTAATAATTAAGAAGGAATGTCTCTCAGACGGACGGACTTAGACGAACTTCTAGGCAAAAAAGGAATTTCCACGTATGTGCTGATAAATGCACACTTGATTTATTTAAAAGCTACACCTACTTTTCTCTGTTTTAATGCCGATATTCTAAAAGCAGACCAACTGTTAACACAATCGAATCTGTTCGTAATCTACTAATCGCAAATAATAGGGGCCGTTACCCTGCGGCGATCCTGCCATATTGATTGGATCCCTCGCCCCGGTGACAGACTAATTGCGAAGTACGAGCGACTAGCCTCGGGACAGTCACCAGGATTACGTTAAGATCAAGGACTAATTTCTTACGTGGTAGAGCCACGCTGCAGCTATATTATGGTTGTATCTCGAATGGGTCGGCTCAGCCGGGGTGCTGCTGTATGACGTAGGGTTAGTGTAGAGAACAGTAGACCCTTTTTACTGGAAACGAAGCATTTCATCTCAGTCCTCAAGAGTAACAAGGCATCTGCATTTTGATTCTTAATTGAGGATAAATGTTAATGTCTATGGGTCACAGCATACACTTACCATCAGGTGGACTGTGTGCTCGTTTGTCGCCCTTATGCTATAAAAAACCTATTTATTAATACAGGCATATATAATTTTCACAATAGTTAATGAAAAAGGAAAAAAATTCCTTTGTCATTTCGTATGCTTTTTTCTTTTTATTACAACGAAATAAAAAATAAGGTATTCTTAGATTAATTTGTGGAGATAATAAATTTGCGGAGAAATAAAGTTTTGAGAAATCTTAAAAGATTGAGAATTTTTAAAAATTTTTGAAAATTATTCATAAGTCATAGTCAAGATAAAGGTGAATAAACTTAATTATCTTTGTGTAGCAGTGGGCTGCTAACTTGACAAGGTAACCTGTAGAAACAACTAACTATTGCTAAATGTAGTGACTTTTTTCTACGAGAACTACCTGTTTAAAGGAATTTGAGTCATTATAATTACTGATAGTGAGATACTCCTGACCGAATTCCGGTCACGGCGGCCAGTCTCAGCGCAGACTGTCAGTGTAGAGCGAGCTTGAGCAGACTTGCCCCCACAAGCAGCGTGTTCTTTAGTCTGACGCTTGTGGCAGCCATCGCACTCCTCGACAAAGTAAATTACCTTTAGACCGAGTTTTGGTCACGGCGGTTAAGCTCAACGGAGACTAGCCATCTGCACAGGCCTCTCTATTCCTTCACTCTCATAGTCTGATGGGACGGTAACCCGAAACTAATCGAGGGAGATCAGACGCAAGACCAACGGCTTTACGTGCTTTCCGACCACGGGGATGAGACACCGCCAACTTCCTGATTCCGGGCTGCTACTGAAAATTTGTTTACAAATAAACCCAATGACTGATTTTGGCCCCACCTGGGA